GAAGGATACCTCCCGGCTGCATTGGAAACGTAAAATGAAAAGCATCTTGGGTCCAGGAAACTAGAAAGACCGAACACGAGGTACACAGATCATTTCACCGAAGATCAAAGAGCTGCCGTGTTTTCTGAAAATTTTCAACACAGTAAAGTGAAGGGAAAATATCAGAAAAGTAGACTCCACCAGTTAGATGGGAATAATAAAACTGAGAAGAGAGAGAGAGAGAGAAATTAAAGAAAGGTGTTTGTGGTATTCAAGTGCAGCGTCACAATATATAAAGAAGAGTTATGTTGCTAGTATTTTTTCAGTGGCCATCTTTGAATATGTAGTGTACACAGAATGAGAAAATTAAAGGTTGAAAGCTGCCAGAGGTGTTCAATTCCCATAACAAAGTTTTTATTGTCAGCTAAGCCCTAACCTAACTTTGTCATTACAATAACGTTTCCATAAACGATGAGTGTTTACATCGCAAATCATTTTTGTTGTCAAAGTGCCAAAAGATTGATTTCTATGGCTATTTGTACAAGTACTCGATTCTTGTAAGCCAAGTAAAGTAAATAGTACGTATTTATCTTATACAGTAAACATTTGGTTGGATTATACATATCTTTGAGAGAAAATCTTAAGACGCGATTTAAAAATGGGTTAATGCCATCTAACGGAAGTTTATGGAACTACAAAATTTTGCTACATGAATAATATTTTCTTTGCTGGATTCACGAAAAACATATGATACATAGAAAATAGTTGCAGACACAAAGCGCTTACTTGCCGAATCAATAGGTCTTTATTGTAGTAATAATAAATGCCTAAGGGCGTTGCCACGCGGGGGCTTTCTTGCGTCGGCGTCGTCGCAACGCTATGATTTCAACGAACCGATTGCAATGCGGTATTGCAACGTAACCGCGCTTTTTTACGCACCGCAGTACCCCTCCCTGCTTCGTTTCCTGGCCCTTTGTTTGACGTGCAAGCATTCCATCGCCGCGCGCTGTATCAATGCACCATGTTGCATGTAGTTCTACTTTATATTATATAGTACAACGCAGCGTCACCGTTTAGGCGATGCGATGGCGATACAACGTATCGTGTGACATCACTGTAATAAAGCATTCATTGTCAGATTGTCAGTAGTATTTTCTGCGTGTGTACCTACTTGTTGAAGTTCTATCGACAAAAGTCAACAAATGGTTACATTTACAATTTCTTTATAGATACATTAGAAACAAATTAAGCAATTTCCAAAACTTTTCATTCATCGAAACTTATTTGAAAGTAAGTTGTGAAATTTTGCTAATAAACGAGCACTAAAATGTCGTTGCTACGAAACTAACACAAACTAGTCAAGATAAATATAATGAATATCTCTCTGGAGAGGGACCCGTCGTCCACGAAATTATGGCAAGCACTTAATTTGAAGCCAAAGAGCCTTTAGGAAGCATTACAATGTTTCGCGAATCGCACGTTACGAAATTGTGTTTTTTGTTTCATTAAATGAAAATTATACTTTTTGATGTCAAGATATTGAAGGAAAAATTGTTCTAGTTATATCTGTATGGTTGTGATTTCAGCTGTTTAAAGGTTTTAAACAGAAACTATAGTTAAGCTGTTTAGCTTAACCTGTCCATTTTGGAAATGCAATTTTAAGTACACTGTAAATTACATAAGGAACAATTTTCAATATTTGTATAACTTAAGTCTGGCATGACTGGTGTACCTACTATGGGAGATACATAGAGTAAAACCTAAAGTTGCATTCCAAAGTCATGATTACGCATGCAGGAATAGGTTAGATTTCAAGAGATATATAGCTTCTTTATTTGGCTTTTGTAAAAGCATAAAGAATTTACGCTAACGCGACAAATAAACGGCGTCGACTGCCATATGTAAAACGTCTAGTTGTTAAATATTTTTTGTTAGTATTACTTGGTACTTGGTGCAACGGGCTATCCGCAACTCGACGACAAAGCGCCTATTTTGCGTGTGGTGGGTGCAGGGTCCTACTCGTGCCACCCAAGCTCCTCCAGGAATCTCAGCAGCCTCCTTGGTTTGCTGAAGACTTCGGGGAGCGACCTTGGCACTCCAAGGTATTTTGCCCTGTAGTTGGCCACGCCGGAGCACTGAAGTAGGATGTGCGCAGCCGTTTCCTCCCCCTCCATGCACGCTCTGCATAGAGGGCTGTCTGTGATACCTAAATTGAAAAGGTGTTTATTATATGGACCATGACCCGTTAGGGCGGCAGTTAGAGTGCGAAGCTCTTGCCTTTTAAGTTTAATTAGTATTCGAGATAGACTGGCATTGAGCGTTGGGAGTGCTTCCCTCGCCTGTCTACAAACCGTAAGGGTGGTCCATGTATTATTATGTGAAGATTTTGTACCTTTGTGTATAGTTGTTCTAGACCATTGGGAGGGGAGGGACACTATCGGTTCTGGTCCTACAGCGTCCGTCTCCGACCCTTTCCTGGCTAGTTCATCTGCTGCATCATTGCCACGTGAGCCGCTGTGTCCTTTAATCCACTGAAGAGTTACGTGGTTTTGTATACATACCTCCATGAGTGCTTGATGGCATTCGTAAATGAGCCCTGAGTTTATGTCATAGCTATTCAGTGCTTGAAGTACTGACATACTGTCGGAGAGTATTCGAATGGAGTAGTTCTTTACTCTTCTCGCTATGATTGCTTCTGCTGCCAACTTGATGCCCATGCATTCAGCCTGGAATACTGTGTTGTGGTCACCAAGCGGTGCTGATATCCTGATATTGAGGTCTTCTGAGAATACCCCAGTACCTGTTCCTGAGTTTGTTTTAGATCCGTCGGTGAAGACTCGGACCTCTCTGGGGTTCAGTCCTTCGTTGGGATCTTCAAATAATTGTATCTTATATTTCTTGTCAAAGATGTATTGTTTTGGGATCCTATCCACAACCGCCTCCAGTAGCGGTTCCTCATTGACAGACTTGTAGAGGATTTCTGTATGTGGGGTCCTCATGTGCTTCCAGAGGCCGGCTCTGTTTAGACGCACTGCTGTTGACGCCGCTTCCTGTCTGATGAACAGTGGGAGGGGTCGAAGGTCCAGCATCGCTTCGAGGGCCGCAGTTGGAGTTGTCCTCATGCAGCCCGTCGTCACCATGCACGCTAGTCTTTGGAATTTGTCCAGTTTGTCGGTTGCGGTCGTCAGCTTGGTTCTTGGCCACCATACTATCGCGCTGTAACTGATCATGGGTCTTATCACCGCAGTGTAGAGCCATAGTGTAATCTTGGGTGAAAGTCCCCATTGTTTACCCACCATTCTATGGCACTGCCAGAAGGTGATAGTGGCTTTTTTAATTTTGTTGTCCATATGTTTGTTCCAATTCAACTTGTTGTCCAGTATTACTCCCAAGTACTTGACTTCGGTTGATATCTGTAGTTCTGTGCTGAAGAGTTTGGGTAATCGGTAGTTACCTAGTAGTCGTTTGTCGGTAAACATTACTAGTTCCGTCTTTGTTGGATTTACCGATAGTTCATATGCTCTGCACCATCTTTCCACAATTCGGAGAGCCGCTTGTGTAATGTCGCAGAGTGTATTGGCATAGTTTCCTGTTACCAGTATAGCTATGTCATCAGCATATCCTATTGTATAGAAATGTTCTTTGTTGAGTTTAATGATAAGGTCATTTACGACCATGTTCCACAGCAGAGGCGACAATACCCCTCCTTGAGGGCACCCCTTCGCTACTATTGCCCATGGGGTCTCATTTGCTGTTGTTTTTATTGTTCTTTGTTTCAGCATGTTGCTAATCCAGCTAATTAGCACTTCATCTACGTTGTGTCTTCTCATTGCTGATTGTATGCTGGAGAAGTTCGTTTTATCGAAGGCTCCTTCAATATCTATAAAGGTGCCTAGGCAGATTGCTTTGTCTTTAAGGGCCACTTCTATCTTGCCCACAACGGCGTGTAGGGCCGATTCAGTGGATTTGCCTTGGCTGTATGCATGTTGGTTACCATGTAATGGAATGTTCTTAAGTGCTCCATCCCTCAGTTCTCTGTCACATATCCTTTCTAATGTCTTCAAGAAGAATGATGTGAGGCTAATAGGTCTGAAGGACTTCGCGTCAGTGTAGTCGGGTTTTCCTGGTTTCGGTATAAATATGACTTTTACGTTCAAAGGTGTTTACTGCCCATTTTGTCTTTTCGTATGTCACTACTTGTTCTGCGTATCGCCAGTTATGGATCGATGTAGTGTAGTTCATTTCTACACACCTGTCGTCTTGGACGAACCTACATCCTGGAAAATGTACTTCCAGTAGGGTTCTTTCCGTTTCCGCAGGGGAGGTTGTGTATGTGTTATCTATTTTGCGTATTGAACCTAGCTCAGTTGAATGTGAGTTGCCTAGGATTTTCCTTATTCTGTTTGCTTGTGCGCTAGACGTGATGTTCCCGCAGTAGCCTCGCCATGACGCGGAGCTCCTGAACCGTATGCGCTTTTTTAGTTTGGATTTGGCCGTCTTGTAGTTTTCCCAATCCTCATCCGCGCATGTGTTCATTGCTCTATTGAACTGTCTCCTTACCCTTCTTCGTAGCCTCTCAAGCTCAGGCCCCCACCAGTGCTGGCCTTGTCGCGGGGCTGCGTCACTCAGTGGGCATGCGGAGTTATAGCTGTTCAATATGTTTGATGTTAGTTCTTTAACCTGTGTTTCTATCTGTGCTGTGCCCAGTAGTCTTCCCGGTGCTCCCGGTTCTCCCAGGTTCTGGTGCAGTTTGACCGTGTATAGTTTACGATCGGTTTTTCTGGGATTCCGTTTCGGTTGTTGTTCTTTAATGGCTGTTTCTAGGCTGAATCTTATCCATCTGTGGTCCGAGAAGGATGCTTCTTCGGACACGTGCCAGTTGTGGATAAGGTCCACTGCTCCTTCTGACGCTAGGGTTAGGTCTATAATAGTTCTACATCTTTTATTTATAAAAGTTGGTACTATACCTTTATTAAGGATTTGAAGGTTAGTTGTGAATAAGTATTCTGTTAGGTTCTTACCTCTATCATTTGCGAGATCCATGCCCCACAACGGATGGTGGGCATTGGAGTCAGTAGCCACGACGATATTCTGGCCGTTCTGCTCGCAGTAGTTGATTAGCTGAACCATTTCCTGCGGTGGTGGCACATCAGTCTCCGCCATATAGACAGAGGCGAGCACCACTTCAGGCAGACCCGTGGCCGCGTCTGCTAAAAGCTTTACGGCACACAGGTCTCTGGAACAGATTCAGTTAGTGGCTGTACATGTAAGTTATTCGAGTAATATATGCAAGTTCTAGGTTTATCTGAGATGGTAGTCGATAGTAGCTTACCTCTCAGGTGTGAGAGTCCATTTATTTGGCCACGGGCACTAATCCACGGTTCCTGGATTAGTGCCATGGCTGTGTTGTTAGCCTCCAACCATTTCCGGAGCTGAACCGTTGCGGCCTGGCTGTGGTGGAGGTTGCTCTGGACGATGTGTAGTTTACTGAGCGAGGGGGAAACCGCCATCAGAAGATAGCAGCTCCTCGTCCACGTCCTCGCTCAGTCGGATGTCTCCCATCCCCAACACACACTCGTCGTCGCTGCTGGTCGCCACCGGTTTGACAGCGGCGTCCGCAGAGACGGGGGTCGAGAAGGGCCCTTCACCTTCTCCGGGAATATTGGAGGAGGTGGAGGGCTCCGGGGAGACGTCCATCCGCGTCGCTGATGTGCCCGTCTTCTCGGGTGGCACATCGGTGTACAGGCCCCTCTTTGATCTGAACCTGAGGTAGACCGTGCCCAACTGGAAGGTTAGGCGCCGGCCATGCCCCAGGACAGCGGGGACGAGTTCCTCTGGGAGGCTCACCACTACGAAAGAGTTGTCACTGTGCTGCTGCAGCTTGTGAACAACCCAGCGGTGTGCCTCCGCCCACGGGTTTTGCCACTTGAGGATGCGGCCGATTCGACGCGCATCCTCCCAGTGACCAGGGATGAGTAGTCCGCAGACCACCCTCCAGGGAGCCTCCACCCCATTTTTCAATGAGAGGGGCTCCCCGGATGGCAGCCTGATGGTGCTAAGGGCATCCTCTAGCCACTGGAAGGTGGCTGTGTCCTGACACCACAGTTTCAGGGACCCGTCACTGTAGACAGGTTTACCACGAAACTGTGGGCCGACGTCCTCCTCGCTGCACTCCTCCGCTCCTTGCGAGAGGAGCTTACATAGGGCCACCTGTACCATGTCGGCATCGGGGCTCCGTATGTAGCCAGTTTTGGCTGATGTGATTACCGCCATGAGTTCAGGCCTGGTGGCCTCGGCGTAAGTGCGTTGCTCGGCGGGCCTCTCAACCTTTTGCCGCTTGTGCTCGCCTCTAGGATTTTGTTAGCATTATTATGAGTCAGACGTTGTTGTCATTATTAATTTTGTTATTTTATATTGTTCTAAGAGCACACTGCATACATTTTTAATAGTACCACAATTTAATTATGTTTTGTTGTTTTACTTTTTTTAATTACGGATAATTTGCTATTTCTATTGTGTTTTGTTAAATAGACATACCCTCATCTACCTCTTCTCAGGCTCCAGCTGAAAATATGTCTCTAAACATAATAATATCGTGTGAAAAGCGCTATGAGGTGAACTTTCTATGCACATTCTATAGCACTTCTGGACGGCCATTATATATACATGTTATTAAATTTGTAACAAACCTCCTATATATATTTGATTAATAAATATACGTTGCACTAGATGCTTAATTTTTTTTTACGGTATTAAGTGACGGAACAAACAAGTCGTGCGCCAGGTGGTAAGTGACACTCCTGTCTTTCAGAGCCTTAATTTGCAAAGATTTGAAGGACACAGCGCCAACTTGAGGCTAAAGTTGACAAGCCCTATGTATGTGCCTGTAATTTCACCAACACCTTTACCTTTCAAAACTGGAACGCAGTAATGCTCACATTACTGCTTGGCGACAGAAATACGTAAGGTAGTCAGTATATCCTTGGACGCACTCTTTCACGAAAAAATTTAATGCTACTAAATCTAATCCAATATTAAAGCCTACTAACGGTCCGGATACGATAATTCTTACGATATGAGATCTATCCAACAGTAAAATAGGTTCTGAGTTTACATGAGGTAAACTAAATGACCATTTAAGTTAAATGCAGGTAGATATAGCCTGCCTTTTTTGAAGATGGAGTAAAATGATTGTTCATTGCGCAGCAGTGTTGCCCGCTTGCAAGCAGGTAGTGATTGCAGTCGATAAATGTTATATCGACTATCGACTGAATGTTGGTTACGATTAAAAATTAATAAATAGTAGAACTTGTTTTATTTGAATCATCATCGAGCGATTAATCGTCCGATTACGAGGCACAAGTTCATTTCAATTGTCAATTTTTGAAAATTCATACCTATGTACGTACACGAAATTTGGAACTATGTCTATAAAAATACAAATAGGAGTAATATATTTTAAAGTTTTTCCTTTTAATTTAATATACATAATCAAATCCACCTGTTGTTATTAAGATATGTATGAATAATAATTGATTTCGTTACTAATATATCATGTCACAATAAGAATAAAAAATACAATAGCGCAATTAGTAATCTTTAGAACGTCGTAACATTCACAATTCGGACATTTATGGCAACATTTTACCTCCTTTCACAATTTATCGACAAAACTGTCGACAACAACTACATAACTATTTAAAATTTTTGAAAATTGGCAACCTCGCAAATGTCATTTTTCTCCGGTTTTCAAAAAAGACGGACTATTACTGAAAAGATGGAAGCGTTGCCTATATTTTATATAGATGGGCAAAAGCCACATCTATAATTGTTTTAACAACATGTTCGATACGCTTTTAAACTTTCGCGTTGCAATATAATAACATTACTAGCGGGTAATTCGATTTAATAGGTATTTGTTCACTTACATACTGCTTCGATGTTTCCACCAGGTGGCACAAGACGTGGTCGACGGTTGTTTGGACATGTAGGATCGATGTCCTCACTTAGACATACATATTATTGTTTCACAATGTGGTCTTACTACTGTATTAAGTAATTTGTAATTTACTTAAGAAATAATACGTACTCGGACATGTCGGATGGATGTGGAATGAATAAAAAATTGAGTCATTTAGAGCTTTAAATCGTAAAGATTTGAGAAGCGCTGCCCCCGCGCCCGTCACCCCAAGAAATACGTTAACAAGCCTCATGTGGTATAATTATTAATACAAAGACCAAACTCTTAGAAAAAATTTCTTCGATCCGGCCGGATTCGAACCGACATCTCCTAGCAAACCGTGCCAGACGCTATGCGAACTAAGTCTCATTTGCCTGTAATTTCACCAGCACCCTTCAAAACCGGAACGCTCTAACGCATACATTATTGCTTGACGGAAGAAATAGGTAAGACAGTATTTCCCTGGACAAATTCTTTCACACGAAGCTCTATTCTTAAACTTATAATTTCGATGTAACAAAACACAATATATTGTTATTACTATAAAAGAACCATGTAAAATACAGTTTTATGCAACCGATGTTGTATTCATATCATGTACATATGTTTTATCAGCATTTTGCAAGTTTAACTTGGCTGCGAATTGATGTATTCTTCACAGGTGTAGCCGGTTTTGAACAAACATTCAAGATACTATCTAACGGTTGCATTACAAAAGTACTAAAGTTGTCTACAATTCTATAATAGAAGTGAGTTGCGCTGTGAAGACGCTATTATCCATTTCAATCAAGTAAACTGTTTATTGTACAAAATCAAAAAAGGACAAAAATTACAAAAAAACGTTAAAACAATTTACATGAATAAACAGTAATTTGCCATCATGCGTGTCGCGACTGGTACAAACGGGACTTACTCAGCTTTATATCGTGGCACTGATTTTAGCGAGTATTATGGATCAGAGTATAAAATTGTCAACATAATTATCGTAATAAATTGTCACTTTGAACCCTGTTATGGATGTATAATTAACATTGACTTACAAATAAACGGCGGACGACGGGTCTAATACAAAAACCACGAAAAAAATGTCCCAAGTCAACCTATTTAAACGTAGTGACATTTAAAGGAATATGAAAAAGCTAAACCGTTGAATTTAAATTGTAATGTCATCGCAGTACTGTCTAATTTTGCTTGCTTCGCTGTCAGTCGAACAAACGAAGACTAAAGCGTGAATGACGCTCTGTATACGATTTTAACGCCCTATAAGTTCGGACACTTTTTAGCGCGGACCCGACGTCCATATAATTGTAAGTCAATGATAATTAATGATAAAACCAACTTACCTGTACGTGAAGTTCTATCATAATTATGCGAGCTGCTCAATTTGAAGCGATAAACTTTTGCATGTAGTACTGTTTCCAGTTCATGGCCATTATCACGAATTATTTAAAGATAAACCTAATCTGAAATAAAAATTTATTAAAAAAATTGTGGTATTTTAACACTGCTACACTGGTTACCCCTATCTGTCAACCTTCCCGCCGGTTTCATATATTCCTGTCATTAAGATAAAAGCCTAATAATGAGACAGGAAGCTGATTTTTTGTCACACCGGGGTGAGTACAGGTGAGTATATGCGAGGGAGTATTCATTAATCGCTTCGAATTGAGCAGCTCGCATAATTATGATAGAACTTCACGTGCAACTAAGTTCGTTTAATCATTAATTATGCTTCACTGCTCAATTCTCGCGATTAATTTTTACATAAATAAAAAATAAAAAACAGAGTGTTAAAGTTTGATATTATAATTATTAGAAATAATAATACCAGTATCATGTACTTAATCTTATTAATGGGTACTAATATATCTATACTAATCTTATAATTATATAATCACATAAAAGTGACATCTCTAAGAGATTACTTTATCACGTTGTTTAAGATTAAAGTACTTATCATCAAGAATTATATTAATTATAACTTTGCTACTTCGCTAGGAATCGATTTAGCAAACTTTTCGTTTTAGGGACAATTTCTCTATTGTAAAACCTGGCAAAAACTGAAGAGGACGCGTTCCGTCTTACGTATGAGGTCTATGTTAACTCCGAGACACTTGGCTTTTGACGTGGACGCGTGACGCGTGCTGTGGGATCCAAACACTGAAGTGTCGACACCGCTTTGATGGAGCACGTCCTTAATCCAATGACGTAAAGTTTGCCTTGTCACATTTCTATGAGGTTTTCTGCAACTCACAAAAACAAATTATCTAAATTAGTTAATCTCAGTGAGGACGTTCTATCTTTATAACAAATTATGGTTCTCGTGGGGCATATTAGATAAAATAATTTAAATTCTTCAGATTTAATATAACCTGTTTATCACCATTTGGTTTAGGTACAAGAAAAATACTGGATAAGTAATCTCCTTGTTCCCTTGTCCCTCTCACATGCTGAAATTGCACCCTCGTTAAGCAAGTTGACTATTTCAGTTTTAAATTCTTTCAGTTCACCTGGACTGCTAGGTTTATTATTTGGCGAGACAGTTTGGTAAGGTTGAGATATAAAAGAAATCATGTAACCCTGAATCCATGACCAAACTACTGCATCAACATTGAGTTTTTTCCATGAATTATAAAAATATTGTAACCTGCGCGATGGCATAGTCACCTGTGTATTTATGGTCGCTTCTTTATTGGGCAGTCGCCTGTACACGCGCTGCTGGCTGGTGGCGCCGGTTGTCTACTTCCGGCCTGCTCCGTTGCTGGTGTGTGGACATCGCGCCCGCAGTCCGATGAGATGCTGGAGCTGGTCTCCTGTTCGGAGTCTGGTAATTCGGCTGCGGGTGCTTCCAGTCTAAATTTGCTGAAGGAGTAGTTTTGACTAGTATCGATTTAGGCCTTGTGTATTTTAGATCTATAACAATATGAAACTTACCTGATGTGTATTCAGAGCTTAACGAAAGAGATCTTGAATCTCAAAATCTTGAAAACAATCAATCTTCTTCGTTGTTTGATTTTTTGCTCCAACCGCCGAAGTTCAATAAAAGCTCCACGCTGTCTCGATCGCTACGTTTTCGTTTTCTTCCTATGTTTAAAGACTTGAAGCCTAACAAGCACTTGTTTAATCGTGTAAAGCAGTATTTAAAAAGATTTTTACATGTAACGGAGCAGGAAATCTAATAATGACAGGAATATATGAAACCGGCGGGAAGGTTGACAGATAGGGGTGACCAGTGTAACAATGTTAAAATACCACACTTTTTAATATATTTTTATTTCAGATTAGGTTTATCTTTAAATAATTCGTGATAATAGACGTGAAATGGAAACAGTACTACATGTAAAAATTAATCGCGAGAATTGAGCAATGAAGCCATTGACTTACAATTATATGGACGTCGGGTCCGCGCTAAAAAGTGTCCGCACTTTTAAGGCGCTAAAATCGTATACAGAGCGCGACACTCCGCTTTAGTCTTCATTTGTTCTACTGACAGCGCGATACTGCGATGACATTACAATTTAAATTTCGAATAGGTTGACTTGGGACATTTTTTTCGTGGTTTTTGTATTAGACCCGTCGTCCATTTATTTGTAAGTCAATGAGTGAAGCATAATATTGCGTAATATTCTGATGACAATGTATTGCATAATCTCAGCAGAGAGTACTAAAAAACTGACCTCAAATATTCGTGGAATTACATCTATTTCCCAAGTTTTATTGAAATCGGTTACCGGAAAGTGCGCGAAACCGAATTCATCCCCTAGTTTGCCACCTTTAAAGGGGGAATATTTTCTTCAAATTTAAATGGGACCTCTACTGAGGTACCCTCTTTCCAACACAATAAGTATCATGAAAATCGGTTCACAAATACGTTATCGCGTAACATACAGAGGAATTGATAACATCTTCCTTTTTTTGAAGACGGTTAAAATACATTTTATATTAATGCAAAATCTTTCTAGCGTCCAACTGCTACACATGGTTCTCCTCCATCTCACGCTGGTCTAATGCGGGCTGGGGATTTCACGTGTTTTCTAAAAGATCCTACTTCGATATGCAGGTTTTATTGTGATGTTTCCTTCATCTTTACCAAGAGATATTACTATTACAAATATATATAAGTATAAAATTAAAGTCATATACGTACAGGTAGTTACAGAGATACGAACCAGAATTGTTGCCGATTCAGGTTTCTTACACATCAGCGGATGAATCAAGACGCTAATTTTTTGAGCTTAATGCTGATGCACATGTTGATTTTAGACATTTAAAAAAAAGCGAAGAATGTACATCCTTACTGAACCTATCTACTTGAAAAACACTTTAATAACTTGATAAAAACGTAATAAAATATTATTTCAATAATTTAGTGACATTTATTAACAAAAGAATAAGTGCTTAGTTGGTATAGCTTCTGGCACGGTAAGCTAGAAGACGTCGGTTCGAATCCGGCCGGATCGAAGGAATTTTTTCTGGGTGTTCGATCTTTGTATTAATAGGTAATTAAAAGAATAAATCTTCATGAAAACATTCAATCTAGCTTAATCGTTGTGAAATTTTATCAAAGGTATATGTTAAAGACAACATCTGAGCTGCTTTTTCGGCTTGTAGACTTGCGCGTTTCGGTTTTGAAGGGTTAAGGGTGCTGGTGAAATTACAGGCACATGGGACTTGTAAACTTATGTCTCAGAGTGACGGACACAGTGGCAGCGCCCTGCAGATCTTTGTGATTTAAAGCCTGAGTGGCACTGCAACGCCGGCGTGTCGCTTACAACCAGGTGCACGACTTGTTCGTCTCGGCACTTGGTATCATGAAAAAGATCCAAACCAATAACTTCGGTTCCAAAGTGTAGTAACAGCGAGAAGACAAAGAAGAATCAGACGTATGTTGAAGAGGATCTTTATCTTTTTTTTTAAATAATATCAAGTGACGGAAATAACACGTTGTACGCCTGGTGGTAAGCGACACTCCTATCCAACCAGAGACAAAAGTTGACATGTCCCATGTCTGTAAAATATTTATTTATTTTACATACATAAGCTAGAAACTATCATTACAGGACTAGCCTAATGCAATAGTGAAGCCAAAATTATTACTTGTTCAACATTATTAACAACATTATTATTTTTATTTTTA